CCTGTAAATAACGTATAAAACTTGTGTATTCATTACTATTTTTATGCTATCTTATCTTTTTCAGACTTTATCTTTATCCTACATGGCTGGGACGATCGCAAGGTAAAAGTCATTTTACTAACATATACAATGATCACTTCATTTCATCCACACGTTCCCGGTGCCAAGCCCCTCCTTCTCCGTGTAACTTCTATACTCGAGACAAAAAATAAATGAACTTAACAACAGAATTGTAAATGACTGACTGAATGATTTGATTTATTTAGCTTTTTACAATATCTAATCTTGTGTTTTTTTTCAGCTACTACGATACTATTTCTGTCATCGTGTGTGTGGGAATAACGATGGTAAGATACGCGTTGACCCTGAACCTTGTATACCCCCTCCTCCTTCACAGAAAGTTGGGGATATTCACTTAGGGGAGGTTATCATAATCACAATTAAACAACATCGATGCTCGCGATGACAGTTATTGTCAAAATTACTTTATAACTGAAAAAATCCATTATCTGGAGGTGCTCGAATGACCACTTGTTGATCAGCCTAGCGTAGCAACCTACTTACGCATTAACGTTAATCGCGCCCTCCACGACCATTGTAACCAGTTTGTATCTGGTGATAGATGTTTCTGTTTTTTGTAGCAATATTGCGTCTACGCCAAAATTCTAACCTGTAAAGATATCAAGTTTAACCAGCATTTGATACAAACAATGTATTTGACATGCTTTATACTCTTTTCCCACTAGGGTGTATGTCTCGGTGTAACACTATTCTGCGTGCAGACTAAGTTCGATTTCACCAAGTATATCGGAGTGGCTTTCGTGCTTACATTGGCTTTACTACTGTTCGGATTTATCGCCATATTTACATATTCAGATATCGTGAACGCAGTTATTGGTCTTGTGTGTGCATTGGTACTTGTATTGGTGAGATATATACTTTTATTTTGATAGACACAGAAACACGTACAGTCCTAACTAAAACAGAAACCCTTCGAATAAGTTGCGCCCTCTAATGGCTAGATGCTTAGACTACTTTATCGTTGAAGGTACGGTACGGCAGGTGTGCGTCTTACATGCACTCCAACCTCGCTTTTTTTTCAGGAGAGTACTATACTTGTAGTCTTTGGCGTAAATGGAATACAAGCAATGGCGTTTAAATAAATAGGTGTTATTGGTTGCGCAGTCGTTCGTTATTTAGAATTTAGCACATCTCTAGTAACATTTTCTGTATTGACAGATGACTAGCGCCGCTGTCGGTCATTTACGCCAGAGAAACGTTTCGTCGCCAGAGGGCACACTATATATAAAAAAATGCGTTTTGACTGGGTTCAATGTAGATTCTGATATTATTTGATTTCTATATTTCAGTGGCTGGCTATCGATACCCAACTTATCCTTGGCGGAAAGAAGCACGAACTGAACGCGGAAGAATACATCTATGCAGCAATGACGCTTTACATTGACATCGTTTATATATTCCTCATCATTTTAGCTATATGTGGTAAAGGGTAGATGGCAATTCAACGAACGAGATGACGTCATATTCGTACAAGTCGTCTGTTTTTGTCATTGTTGCATATCAGATGAAAAGATTTATTCAACGCATACAAGATTAGAAGCGTATTCGCAGAATTGTCGATTGCAAAATCAATCACGTACTAGTATTGTTATTGTCTTATTGTATAAACAAGTACTTCTATTGCCTTACACATTCTCCCTTCACATTTCGTCGTTTCGTTGATATAATCAGCACTGCACTGACATGTCAAAATCCGCACCAGGAAATATGTGTTTGATTCACAGTCAGCTGTCGCACGCGTGATAATAAAATAAATGCGATATTTACTATATGGGGGTCGCCATCTTGAATGCGGCATAAAACTAAATAACAAGTTGTGAAACGCGTTTTTCAGATTCCTACAAATCAGGACAAAAATACCAACCTTTCACAAAAATGCGATCCGTTGGGGTTATATTAAGCCAACGGATAACAAAATTCGAGCGAATTCGGCGTTTTTGTGTGAAAAAATCTCTTGCATACGAACACCTAATTACACGAAGAACATAAAACACTTTCCTGGGGTATTTGAAACCCAAAATTGCCATTCCAGCTCAGCAGCCAATCAGTGACGGTCTAGATGACAATTTCGGTTTTAAATACCCCGGCTTCGTGTTCCGGTATTCAAGATGGCGACCCCTATATATTAAATATCGCATTTATTTTATTATCTCGTGTTAGCCAGCTGACTGTGTTTGATTACTGCACAGCGACTACACGCTTATTTTTCGTTACCTAATAGGACAGTAAGATTTAGCGTAAATCAGAAAAGTGTGGCTTGTGAATTCAAATGCTGAATAATCGTGTCTAAAGATTTTAGTATTTCACATTTAGATTTTTAAAGCTATGTCATTAAGATATTGTTTTGACGCATGCAATATACCAACGTTGGCAATATTATTTTTTAGATATAAAAATGTTATGAGGAATTCTCTGATCCATATTGCGTTTTTTTTGTGCGCGTGTTTGTTTTATCAGAAATGTACGTTACTAGCATTTTACATTACAGGGCTGGAAATAGCCACCAAGATGAGTAAGCCACGAAACCTTTCCTCTCAAGTGAGGTTCCAGTCACCCTTGTTTTAGCCTCCACTGTTTAATGTATCCTGGAGTGCGTTCGTGTCGCAGCCTTGTTCGACTTCTATGTGACGTCACAATTGAGGCGCATCGGGGCAGTTTTTTACACCCCCTTGCAGTGCCAGGGAAGTTTGGGGAAAAGATAGCTAACGGCGGAATCGTTAGTTAAAAAATTGTTAAGTAATTCTCAAACATATTTCTTGCATAGCAATCGGCCCATACAATCACGTGACACCATTTCCTCGAATTGCGTTCGCGTACACAACTTCCTCGGGAAGCACTTTATGATTGCCAAAGGTCACTAGTGCCACGTCACTCTGGGCACGCCGAAGCAGCGACGCGAACACACTCCTAGTTTAATACGCGTCGACGGAGGAGCAGGGTACGCTATTCGAGTGACAAACAAAATAGCAAAAAAAATGACTTCTCAAATGCGATTTCAAAGAGTTGTGACGATTGGTCCTTAAAAGTTTAGGTGCGTCGGGCACAGACAATTTTGAGGAAAAAACATATTTTACAGGGATAATTTTTAGAAAAAAAAAACATCCTATAGGTGAAATGAGACGAAAATATGTTTCTATAAACACAATACCATGGAATCAACAATTTTACAACTATATTCTCCAAAAAAGAATAGAAATACATCATGCACAGTTTTTTCTCCCATTTCCCACCTAAGTTGTTAAATGGTCATCCTCCAAGCCTACTGACACACAGACTTATTTACCACACATGCTTCGTAAACCGATGCTACCCCCTAGTTTAAGTGATTTTACAGGAGTCTGTCACCTGAATCTAAGACAATGTTTCGGTCAAAGTAATTATTTATTTGCCGCTTATTTCAATATTGCCAATAGTACTATCTTAAGAAGGGAAGCACAAACGAGACCAGAAGCAACAGGGAATGCACATTTCGAATCTCGAATCACATTGCAATAGGAACGTTCTAATCGGCCATGCTGGGAAATGAACTCTCGCGATTCTCGTATTATGGCTGCACAAGCTCGATTACAGTGATATATAATCTCGCGGCCTACGGTCAATGTCCCATTTCCCATGCAACCTTACGTGGAGGATGCGACTCACGGTGTACATAACGACGGTGTGTATAGTGATGCCACGCATAATGACGTCATCACATCACACTTGCTCATTTACGCAGACTTTTGTGCAAACATTTTTTTTGTTTCTATCAAACTGTGTAGGAAGACTGAGACTTCTTATATAAATACATTTTGTTTCTGTAATATCCCCATGCTCATTTTCAAAAATCTCATTTTCTGTTCCGAGTCACGATTATTATAGCTTAGTTACATTTATGTTGTCATAGAATTTTTATTATATAGCTTTGAATAAATAATGGATAAATATTATGAATGTTATAGTTGCTATAGTAACTAGAAATGCTACAAGGTTTATATTTTGCAACTAGATGCACAGAATTGCCAAACCATGCACAAATCTTGGAAGCATGGGTACGAATGGCAGACAGTAGGACATGTGTTATCTAAACGTACTTTAGTTTATTTCGAATAAAAATCAACGACAAAAAAAGAAAAGCAGACAGAGACACACAAAAAAGACCAACAAAGCCCATAATAGCACAACAAAGATGCCCATATCCAGAATAACCTACAAAGCCACATAAGTTTTTTCCTAACGCCGCACCTAAGCGTACACAACACTACATAGATATAATAACATTCTAAAACACATTAAATGTATACACGGAAAAATTAAATAATTTAATTCGTTTGTACAATTATAACATTGTTACGACACATCGCAGATAAAAAAAAATCGAAAAGTATTTCTCTATTGTCTGATATCTCAGACGACTAATAAATATTCGTTGTCTGAGCTAATATGTAGTAGCCTCTAATATCACTAGGACACATGTTGAATTGCTCCCTCTAGTGTTGTAGGAATGTAGACAATTAATAGGTAACTGTCGTTAAAAATAAAAAACTTAATTTAGACGAAGTTTTGTTATTCACATCCAAAATATTTACTTTACCCCTATCAGATTGACCCGCATGTGTTTTCTGATTGCGGGCCCACATGTGTTCGGGAGTAAATCTGACCATATCATTCTGGCTACTCAGTAATTTGACTATAACTGATACCACCGTGACGTAGAACTGCATATTCAAAATGAGGTAGAATCAAAGATGAACATAACTACTTGTGACACAGCTCTATCACAATGCCTGGAATCTAGTAAAGTACCACTTTAACACGATCGGGGCTGATACGCGAAGTACTCAACAAAACCGATCGTCTACACATTTCAAATATTTAGTCTATTTAATCGCACGATTTGGAGTACGTTTACAGCTGCAAATGCCATAGTTTTTGTCCGCATTTTGTAAACGCACTAGGCCGAAGGCTGCTACCTTTTTCTATAACGCACGCGTTGGAATTGAATCCTAAACAACGATAATAACGCGTGCTAAAACACAAAGGCTCATGGGTAGACGCTTGTTTGTAAACAACGACACGCTATGGCCGTTCTGCCGCATGCGCAGGTGACGACTTTAAATGTATTTGCTATGAAGTCGGGAATAATTGTAACCCATTAAGGGGCGTCTCTACGTTTGCCAAATCCCACAATCAAATCACTTACGAGTTCGCGCATGACACACTAATGACGCAAACTAATGACTCATCAATTCAGTCACGTGGTAACTAATAATGTATGCAATATGCATACTATGTTAATGAGATGTGATGTATATACCGGGTATACATATCTGGTGGCGTAGATACGAATGACGCAGTATCGTGTATCCTGGCGTTAAGCGTATACAACTCTTTAACACAATATTAGGAACTACTTCTACTGTGCTAGGGATCTTCGCGGGTAAGTGATAAAGTGAACTACGTAAAACTCAAGTAACTTTGGAAGGGTGATGGGGTATAATCTTCGTTCATAAAATACACATATTGTTTAATAATCGTGATCGCCGCGTTGAACCATGCCCCAAGTAACAACTGCCGGGCAAGTCTAAATTTAGACCTGTCTGCTAATAAATCTGCCAGCATCGTGCTGTGTTACAAGATTCAGTCAATATTTATTCTGTTTGCTGTGAATTGCCCTTTAACTTCAATAGTAGAAACTTGTATTTGGATGTGAAAGTGAATTGATGTATAGCATTAACGTGTTACTAGAAAAAAACATTTTTTTCATTCTTTATTCTAATAGTAGTACATTTTCTAATTTTTTACCATGAGTGTATAGGTCCAACTTTAATCTATATGTATTTACATGTGCGATGTATATTACATTTTAGGCTAATATTCATCACAGGTGCTTTGAACAATCATGACGTCAAAGCCAGAAGAGTATCCACCACCACCTCCGTATACGTACGGGACCGATGGTCAGCCGTCCGCAGCATATTACTACGGTGCACAGCCTCCTGTTAATAACGTCAACTACGGGTGGAATGACCCGACAAATGGAGGTAACGAACATATACCTTACATTGCCTCTCAGTACTGAAGTTATAAAATATTTATTTATTTATTTATTTATTTATTTATTTATTTATTTATTTATTTATTTATTTATTTATTTATTTATTTATTTATTTATTTATTTATTTATTTATTTATTCGAAGTAATACTATGATAAAGACGGATTCACAGTAGTGCTAAATTCGCACTATTCGATCAACAAAAATAATAAAAAAACTAATCAGTGAGTTTCCTATGTAATATATACCAGGTTACAACGATCCGGAAACACTTGCGTTGAAATCAGAGCCAGTGCCTCCCCAAGAAAGCAATGGAACCACGGGACATGGCGATGGTTTCACCACGGCTGAACGATTCGCTGATGATACTGTACGAAGAACGTTCATTAGAAAGGTAATGCCACTATTCATACTAGATACAAACAAAGATACCAGCAATACTCGAGCTATGCGGGTCGGTTAGGCACAGTGATCGGCCATTGTCAATTAATAAGGTCGCCATGGCATTATTCAACTTTAATCGGGCTGTTTTGTTTTATTTAGCGTCAAACTCACCAGTATGTTATCACGTGTTACAAACAAGACTGTCATTCAGTTTGCAATTGCTGTCTTTTGTGTAAGGTGTTTAATTTTAAAGCTGGAATTTATATTTCCGGCACACATCATGACAAATCCACGTGATAGTGTCAAATTTTCTGTATCACATCCCTAATATGCACACAATTTTGGGTTGTGACGTGACTAGACAATACATTGAAATACGGAGTTGTGAATGTTACATATGCCATGTCACGTGCATAGTTTTTATCGTTTCTCATTCTCCCAACCCCATCTTGGCAACGCGCGAGATTCGTTTCCTCGGCTGTACTTCTTGCCAATTAATTTTCGCGATATATCCGAAGACTGCTAATAGAATTACCTCAAAATGTATCAATATGCGGTCAAAGGGCCCTTGAACCGTAAAGTATATTTATTGTTTCCAAAAATAAACTTTATTTTTTAATAACCGGTGATAAAATGTATGCAAATGAATGGGACGCGTTTGACACGCACATTCAAATTAGAATGAGTGTGATGTCAGTTTCTGTTATCGAACTGAACTGTGATTTTCTTAAAGGGCGGTAGTCATCGCGCCATGCATGTGCGAGATATATAGGTCTCATATAAACAAAGATGGCGACTTTGGCTGTTGCGCAGATCACCGAGTACAAACTGGGACGTTAGAAGGTATTTTAGGTGATTGTAAGATATCATAGGAGTCACCGGCGATAATTAGTTAATGTTGCGCCCGGGTCAATCCTCATACTTGTGTGATTTCCGTGAGAAGAGCGCATTGGTTTGTGGGAAAATCAATGTTTATCAACACAACTGTCGCACATGCGCGGCGTGACGACTACCGCCCTTTAAACAATACGTACATGCGATAAATGGCATCAAAATTCGTGACCTCGATAATAGATTCACTACGCATACGGCTCGGAACATTTGAAACTTTCTACACTCGTTTAACAAATTCTATATCTTGGGTCATTCAACTATCATAATTGGAAGTCACCGATAAAATAGGACTTTCGTAGCGCCATCTACGAGCGGCATTATTATTTCTTGCGTTTGCCATTTCCAACGACGCTGGCTCAATATCTACAAATAGTCCCTTATATACTGTAATTTAAATTGTTTGACCTCCGTTAAAAGTTATCCGATACTAGTAAATATCTTAATGTGATAAATCCAAACTTGTCGTTTCTAGGTGTACGGCGTATTGACAGTTCAACTGATTTTTACGTTTGCGGTCGTCTGTGTATTCACATTCGTGTAAGTAGTCACCGTTAATTGTGTGTATTGAATTATATTTCATAATTTCAGTCTGGTGGTTGCTAACCAGATTTGCATATAGTAGCGGGCTAACTGCCTCGCCCTCGCAGTAAACTACTAGGACTGTAACGTAAAATCTTAAAATCTTCCCGTATGGGGAAAGATTGCCTGTGAATTTTCCAATATTTCAATTTTCCGTAGTTGAAGTTTTGCCGTTCTGTCCTAGGCTAAAATAATTTAGTTGTAGTAATTGCTTTATGATTTAATTTCAACAGTTTCTTTTTTTATAGTTCAGTCCAGCTAAAACTACAACCAATTTATTCATGTCATATTGTTATATATCAGAATATCTAAACATTTCTTCTGAGAAACTGAGTTGTAGGAACAAATATAAAATAAAGTGTCTTAAAAACATTTATCGATAACTAGCTAGTAAAACCTCCATCATAGTATTTACCTCTCCCATAATACTTGGTTGTCGAGCAGCGCTTGTTCGACTGTCATGTACTGTAAAATGCATTATTTTGGCTTGGAATTAATTCATCGCTGAAGGAATTATCCAGTGAATCAAAAATCAGCAAAAATAAATTCAATACAAAACAAAAAACAAGTCTTTTCAGTGAAAATTGACACAGTAAGCAAGGTATTTTACAGGCGTTGTGTACGTTGCTATCGAACAGGACGCGGCGCGAGGAGCACTGCCCTTAGTACGTTTCTTTTTCATGAGTTGGTCCCGTGGAGAGATACCAGCGTCAAAGCGGTGACGCTATAATACTAGAAGGAAAATTTATTACTAAACTTAGCATGTGCTTTATTGCAGTGATGACGTCAGATTGTGGGTCCACCGCCATTATGGATTTTTCATTTTATCTTTGTAAGTATTTGAGGTTCTTTTGGTGAGAAATAAGCATAATTTTAGATAACACGGGAGGGGAATGCCACATTTAGCACCCCTAATAGACTCGAGAAAATAGACGAGTTTCGTGGAACGCGGCCAGTTCTCCGACTGCCACGTCACCGAGCTACAAGAGAAAGAAAAGGGTGGTTTCGAAGCAATTTCAACTCCTTCATGAGTATTCATAGAACTCAACTCTCATAAGATACACAAGTGGTTATTTTTCGTCATCACTGCCAAACTATTTCATATTTTAACACATTTTGGAAATTACGAGAAACTTTGAAACGCAAAGGCTCATGGTAGACGCTTGTTTGTAAACAATGGCACCCTATGGCCATCTGATGCATGTGCAGGTGACGACTCCCCCGCTTTAACTAGAAGACACGTAAGGAAGTCTGTGTTTCTCCATATCCTTTACTCTGGATATTATTCTGTGTGTATTAACCGATTTAATAGTATTTTGTTGTCCTCAAATAAAAAAAAAATTTCTGACTATAATTTAGATAGTCAAGTTGAAGGTAGCAAATTCGATAACAGTATCTCAAAACTATTAAAAAAAGGCGATTTTTTTCTCTCAAGATACTGTATATAAATTCACAATTTCCATAAGCGAAACAAAACGCGTCTCTGACAAACACACTTATCGTTTTCAACGGCTTTGCTATCAGACATTATATCAATTTGACGTCACGTAATTGTTTCGTCGCCAGAGGGCTTTGAGTGCCGTATAAGGCGAAATCCCGGGGCATTCTGTTACCGAAACTATACGTCATACTGTGAGTTGTTAGACGAATAAAAAAATCAATAAAAATAAATAAATGTCACCCGCTCAGAATAAACTGTTGGCTCTGTGCAACGTACAATATTATTGTTTCGGCAAGAGTTTTGAGTTCGGCGCGCGTCTATGTTTGTACGTTACAAAATCAGTATGCTCGCAACTGGCATAGCATGGAAGGTAAAAAGAGCCCATACTTGCCCAAAACATCATAATCCGCTCAGAAGTGAATCAACGTTGATCGGCCCTTTCGCTAGCACGGAAGTAAGTCATCCACTGTCCGTACCACTCCGTGTCAAATACAATACCAGTCGCCGTACGTAATTGTGTGTGGACTGCACTATACCTATATTGATTTTTATAAATTCTTTACCAATCTTCTATTTCTAATTTAGTGTCGTGTTCCTGGTGGTTTACCTTGTTATTGCATGTGTGGAGTCTCTTCGTCGTAAGCATCCAATTAACATAATTATGCTGATTTTACTGGTGAGTCTTTAAGTGGATACCCCATATACCGCCCCTATCGACGAAGCGCTTCCATGATAACTGTTCAATTATATAGCTGTCTATTTTAACAACACAATCAATTCATCTTCTTGGTGACGTCACAGAAAATATTCGCCGCCAGGGGGCGCTATTTACAGAAATATGTATTACGAACACAGTAATGAGTATCAATGTGGGGGAATTTTGATGACGCGGAAACAATCCGCCAATCACGTATTCTCAATACTGAAAAATCAAAAAATCAAATCAACTTGAATTTTACGATGCGTAATAACAAATTATAATTGGATTAACAAATTTAATATTGGATCAGTCATGGTTTTACATCATCCAACGATTACAAATAAAACAATATTTAATTGTATTGTTTAATCAAAAATGTTTTTAATTCAATTTTTCTAGACTTTATCGTTATCGTACATGGCAGGCGCAATCGCAAGGTATGGTATTATATATATGCGTTATGTATAATTGTACTATAGAATCTATATTTATGAATACTAAAGTCACGACACGTTCAAATATAGATACATAATAGTTTTATTTCAACGTAATTAATGATAATGAAAAGTATACAAAGCAAACAACGTTAGAAGTAACGTTTTTGTTGTCAGCATAATTTTGGACGCGTTGGCGGTAGAAAACGGATGAAAAAAAGTCGCGTTGCGCATAAGATCTAATCTCAATAGTTGAATAAGTTTGTGACATAATTAATAATAATATTGCCATGTTCTTATTATTACAGCTATTACAGTACTCTGTCTGTTGTCGTCTGCATTGCCATAACGCTGGTAAGTTACAATACCTCACTCCGAACCCACGTTACCAAAAACCCCAAACCGCGTTCCCTAGTGATGAATTGCTTGTGTGACGTAAACTGTAAGCGGCATTGTTTACAGCCCGGCATTGCTTTCGTCCTTCAATAAAAAAAAACCTAGTCTAAAATGTAATAGATTTACATATGCCACGCAGCAATAATCTAATTAAAACTTCATTCTTTTTAACTTCATATATCAAAGATTCTCCCAGCTTTCAACAGCATGCCACGCCCCTTTTCAGGTCCTTGCATTATGTCACTAACCGAAGTATTAAATCTCAGTAACAAGAATTAACCCAATAGTACATTCATACATTAACAGTTCATCTCATCAT